TGCCGCTAAAGAAAATGATATTGCTAACAATAAGCAATTTTAGGGCACAAAGTATACAGTTGTTCTCACCTGGAGAAATCTCTGCAGAGTGTAATATTTATAAACACAACCTTGTTGCCGCATATAAAATTGAGGGTTGTACCAGAGAACAATTGTACAGATCATCGAGGGGAATGGGATTAAAAGCCGAAAGCTAACGAGTCACCTTAATGGAAACCCAACCTAGTTGACTGGAGATCCCAAGATCAAGGTTCAAAGGGACAACAGAAATTCTGAGTGACTCACCAGAAGCACTGAGAAGATATAAATCTTCTACCCATTTCTATGATGAGACAGTGCTACGTACAGCGAGGATTAGGATAAGCTACGCTTTTAATGACTCTTGTACCTTGAAAATTCAAGTGGGGTATGGTAGGATACTCTTAATAAGAAATTACCTATATGAGTGTAAAGTGGGGCCGCTTCTACGAGAACTATAAAAGCTAAGTTTTCTGGAGCACTCATTGAATACCAGGACTTGTTCAGGGCCAAAATGAACACAACAATGAGAACCAACTTTGTGAGGAAAGGTACTGTGTGTTTGTTATTGTCTTGGTTTATACAAACGGCTGAACAGTTCAAGACATCGCGTTCACTAATTAGCCAGTAAATCCGATAGCAATACACTAGGGAAGGTTCAAAGCCAAAAGCTACCTATCCTGATGCAGTAACTTTCCAATTATACTCTCTCTAGTGTCTGCATGATCATCTTTTACATTTTACGCAAATTTCCATTCATGTGGGGGATTGCTGGAAACGGGGGGCATTAAAAACATAAACTTTGGATGAGATTTGGAATAGATTTTGCTAATAATTTTTTGCGGATCTTTAGACGAGCACATTAATCTCCGTAAGGAGATGAACATGATATATTTACCTTCTCAAATCCGTTTCCGGGTGAATGAGAAATTAGCTCTAAAGTGTGGTATTTTGATAAACTTAAATGAGTATGCAAAATATGGGAAGTGTTTGTCCCACATGGAAAAAAAAAAAAAATGTTGAAACAAATTGAAATTTAAATAAGCTGAGTTTAGGATTTGGGCTTGGGCTTGGGCTTGGGCCTAATTGTAAAGTCCATATTATTCTTTTTTGGAATTTTGGATTGGGCCTAATTTTAGGCTGGGCTTATTTAAATGGGTTTCACAAATGGGTGGGTTTTTTGGGTGGTTGGTTTTTTGAATTAAAAAAACTACTTTTTAGTTTTTCTAAAAGGTTAGACCTTTTAAATTAAAAAACCATATTTTAGTTTTTCTAAAGGGTTACACTTTTTAATTTAAAAAAATCACTTTTTAGTTTTTTCAAAGGGTTACACCTTTTTCCGAACCATCATAACCCATGGTTGCACCCAGTCGAAAAGGCACATTGCAACCTATTGAAATGGATGTGTCTATTGGTGAACAAACACCATGTGAACCATTGCAACCTATTGGAATAGATGTGTCTAGTGGTGAACAGACACCATATGAACCATTGCAACCTATTGCAATGGTTGTGTCCAATAATGAAGAGATACACCCAATCCGAAAAGGCATTTCTGTTTCTATAAATACCCCCATTTGGATCATTTGCAAGTTGTTCATTTTCATTTTCTTCTATCTCCCTCTCTAGACTTGAACCCAACCCAAGTGGGTTCAAACCATAAGTTAAGTGGTCTGAACCACTCAGACCCTAATCCAATTTTATCGAGCCATATTAAGATTGGTTCAAACCATTTGATTCGAATTGCACCCAATTCAGCATTTATATAATATAGATGCATTTTTGAGTCAGAGGGAGTATTACATGGAGAAGGTTCGCCGTATCCACGAGTTTGTAGTGCTGCTACTGGTGAATGTAGACCGTTATATCTTGGGAGATAGACGCCACTGAGTTCGTTAGCACCATAGCGGGGCGAATCTGTCTTAAGGACATAGTATCCAATACTAGCCTCGGTCCAGGTTCTTTATTTATAATTATTATTTTATTAATTTATTTTGCATGTTTAATTAAATATAGAGTTGCATATTTAATTAATGATTTCTTAACATATTGTTAATAATCTCATGACATATTAGTATAAGGTTTGTTATATCTTAAATGTCACATGAAGCATATATTTTACCATCACTGTGTTGGGTAGGACTATTTTTCTATTGCAGGAGTTGACTCGGTAGTCGCTATTTCCATTTAAGGCGTAACAACCTCGGCACAAGGCTCCAAAATTTTTAATTTTCTTATACTGGGCCCCAAAAACATTGACTCCTATTTTCTATTCTTATCTATTTTTTTTTTTCCCTTCTTCCCCTTCTTCCCCTCATTCTACTTATTTTCTTTTTCCCTTCTACTGCACTTCTATATATATATATTGGACTGATCATATTATATATTTAAAAAAAATAACAAAACATAAATATAATATTTTAATTAATAATTTTGCATCACAAAAAACAAGAAAGATAATTTTAAAATAAATATAATTAATTATTATTTGATATTAATATATTACATATTAAAAAGACAACTTTTATATATATATAAATATATGGGTCAAGTGTAAAAAACATTATTTGATATTAATACATTTTAAAAAAAATAACAAAACATAAATATAATATTTTAATTAATAATTTTGCATCACAAAAAACAAGAAAGATAATTTTAAAATATATATAATTAATTAATATTTGATATTAATATATTACATATTAAAAAGACAACTTTTATATATATATAAATATATGGGTCAAGTGTAAAAAACATTATTTGATATTAATACATTACATATGTAATGTATTAATATCAAATAATGTTTTTTACACTTGACCCATATATTTATATATATATAAAAGTTGTCTTTTTATGTAATGTATTAATATCAAATAATGTTTTTTACACTTGACCCATATATTTATATATATATAAAAGTTGTCTTTTTAATATGTAATATATTAATATCAAATAATAATTAATTATATATATGGGTCAAGTGTAAAAAATATGTAATGTATTAATATCAAATAATGTTTTTTACACTTGACCCATATATTTATATATATATAAAAGTTGTCTTTTTAATATGTAATATATTAATATCAAATAATAATTAATTATATATATGGGTCAAGTGTAAAAAATATCCCTAAAATATTTTTACAGTGCATATCATACCCGTCACTTGCTTATAAGTCTCTCTAACAAATTTAAGTCCTAAATTGACTAAATTACCTTTATTGAACCATTTTATAAAATGATAAAAAATAACACTATTGGAGGATGTCCCTCACATGCAAAAAAATACCCTTAAAGTTTTAATTTGGTGCAAATAGGTTCTTTTTTGACAAATTTAAATCTTAAATTGACTAAATTACCCTTACTGAACCATTTTATAAAATATATAAAAATAAATAATTTTATAAAATGATCGAAAATAACACAATTGGGGGACAGCAATGGACAAGTAAAGATAAAAATAAAAAGCGAAAGTAAAAAAAATAAATCTGCTCCAAACTCCAAAATCATTGCACACTGATGTTGAAAATTTATATATATATTTTTTGTTTAACAATGTGGGTACCAAAAAAACTAAAATAAAGAAAAATAAATTTTAGTAGAAAAGAGTAAACTAAAATATCAAAAAATTCAAATCCTTATTTCACAAATTTTCAAAGTTTTTTTTTTAGAAAAATGTTTAGAGATATATATAGAAAAAAAAATTATATATATAAGGTAATGTGCACATAACACCCTTATATTATGAGATTAGTAGTACATATACTCTCTTGTGCATTTTCGAAAGAGTAAAAACGAGTATTACAATACTAATTTATGTCAAAGGGAATATTTTTGTATAATATAAAAAGATTAGAAATATTTTTTATACACCTTTTCAAATAAGTATAAAAATATTATGTGAGATATATTTTAGGGGTGATTTCAATACCTTTCCACCCAAATGCAATACGAAAACAATTTATTTAAACCCGTGAAAGTACAAAAAATTTCTTTTTCGTTCTTACACACCTACCGGAAAATTCGAGAACAATTCGATAATTCTGTATGCTTCTATTTGGAGACAGATCCGACCCAATTTATGTACCCGGTGCCCCACCTCACATCAACATGTACTCCCCGAACAATGCTTGGATCCTGCCCGACAAGTTTTGTCCTGTATTCTGATGTGGCCTTATGAAAACTAGACACCTGTTCAAAAAATAAAAAAATGGATCATATTGGATCAAATTGGTTAACCGGGTAGAATCCATCAGACAAACCCATTTTCTCTCTCCTTCAGCCCTTCCTCTCTCCCTCCTTCGCAATGGTTAGCCGCCGCCACAATTGCCTGCAACGATGACCTCTGGACGGAGATCCTCGTCTGCACGCCCCTTTAGGTCTCTGATCTGGTTCAAGTCCGTGTCCACAAATACTGGTTCTCTCTCATCTCCGCCTCCCGTTTCTCTCTCCTCCACCCTCCGGCCTTTTTCTCCGTGAAAACCCCATCGAGTCCAAATTCGAGTTCGATCCGTTCAGCGACAACAATCCCTCGAAAGCCCCCTTCAGATCTCTCAATTTCGCTTCAGGTATCAAAATGGTACAGTCTTGCAATGGCTTGTTGCTCTGTTCTGGTTTTCCAAAATTTGGCAGAAACACAACTTCTAATTATTATATATACAATCCCACTACCAAGCAATACTCAACACTTCCAACTCTCACTGGAACTGAATATTCTCATTTTTTTGTATTAGTTTGGCTTTTGATTCATTACAAGTATACGCATATGTATAAATCTGTTCACTATAAGTATATATGCATATGTATATGTATATGTACTTTCATGGGTTCTGTAATTGTTGCATAAAAATCGAGAATGAATTTTGATGGGTTTTCTCATTTGAAGTTTTGGGTCTGTTTGGCTTGATGGAATCGTGAGGTTTGGTGTTGGGGTCACTGCAATTATTGTTCAAGTATTAGTACTTTTGCTGCAGTTGGAGCTATTGGCACCTGCAATTTAAGGTTTGGTGTTGGCGACGCCGAACAACAGTGGATGACTGCAATTTTCCGGTGGCGATGCGCGATGAAGGAAATACTTTGACGGCGGTGACATGATGTGTAGGGTTTTATTTTTCTTTTTGGCCTTAGAAGTAAAAAGGGTTAGCGAAGAAGAGAGGGAGGACTGAAGGAGAAAGAAAATGGGTTTGTCTCATGTATTCTATTCGGGTAGCCAATTTGATCCGATATGATTCATTTTTTATTTTTTTTGGACAAGTGTCAAGTTTTCATAGGGCCACATCAGAATGGAGGACAAAACTTGTCCTGATAGGGCAGGATCCAAGCATTGCTCCCCACCTTCCGTTCCCTCTTCGATCTCTCCTGCTACTGCTTGCTAACACTACTAGTCTCATTTCGTATATCCTATATATATATATATATATATATATACACGCCTGTTAGGTTGGCTGAGAAGTAGGATATTGAAGAGTAACGAACCTTTCTGCCTATACTTTTGACACACAGGTGAGATAATTTCTAAGGTCTCTCTTGCTTTGGTCAAATAGTATCAATATTTATACTCTACTATCCTTTTCTTCTTCTTCTTCTTTTTTTTTTTTTTTCGTTAATGAACTCGCTTTGGTTTTCTAGGGTTTCATTTGCATTATCTTTCCCAATCACATGGATTTATACTAATTCTCTCTTAGTGATACATACATGTATACATATATATATGTTTTATGTGTATATATGCCAATACCTTTTATGGGGATAAAATTTTCCAAGTTGAAAATGTAATCAAGAATGATCTTTTTACAGGAAGCATGAGGGAAATCGTGACTGTACAAGTTGGAGGTTACGCAAACTTCGTTGGGTCTCACTTCTGGAACTTTCAGGTACAGTTTCATGACCCCCTTTTGTATTTTTATTTTTGGTTCAATATTTTACACTCTTGTCTCCATATCAGTCTTTGCTCATTTATATATGATCTTTGACTCGATTTATTTTGGGTGGCTTCTTACATTGCTTCATAAAAATGCCTTTATTTCACATACATTACCTGTAATGAATGATCCCATTGAAATTGTGTGTGATATATCTCCTGAGTACCTGGCCGCAAATGTTGGAAGTGGGTACATGCCTTGATGTTGTATTTTTCTGTTCCCCAAGTACCTACTGTTCGGTTTTAGGTGTTAAGTCATGCATATCCATACCCATGCTGTGTTGCTTTGGCTTGGCTACTCCAGAATTATAGTAAAGTATTTGGGTTATGGAATAGGGACACAGAGCCTCTCTAAGTTTTTTGGTATCCAAGTTTTTACTAGCCCTTATCTAACAATTATAAATACATCATTTTTGTTGAGATAAATTTGTGCGTGAAGCCACAACCTAGAGGCAAGCTATGAAGCATGGACTACAATATGAGATACCGACATGACATGATATGGATACAACGATACAACAAACTCTTAAGAAAAAAAGTGAATACGAACACGGCAAGGACATGTCAATATGTATACATGTATAATATGAATTTAGATATGTATAAAAACTATATATATGTGTGTCTGCATGTGTAAATGTGTATAAATTTAAAAGATTGTTATGACAAACGAGCTGAGAGTTGAGAATTATATTGCATGGATAAATTTTGAATTAAATTAATCATGATATATTCTCATTATATCTCAATACTTCTTTTTTTGATAAAATTCCAAGTTTTTCTTAACAATTGTATGATAATATTGTTCCTGGAAAAGCTATATATTTTGGGTTTAAGATTTGTTAAAAATGTGTCCTGAAGTAATTCATAAGAATCCGATATGTGGTTGAAGTGTCAGGTTCGTGTTCGAAATGACAAAAATTATTTTCAAATTATGAATTCGTTTAAGGAAGTATCTGGCGCGTATTTGCGAGTATTCTAGGAGTGTCGGTATTTGAGACGGAAAAAATATAGACATGTACCCCTTATAGAAGTATCCATGCTGCATAGGTGGGTAGTTAATCAAGTGATGAAATCTCATGCTTCTAATGGTTGAGTTTAGGCTTGTAGAAACTATTTTATACATCTCTCTTAAACATCTATTATGTTCGACGGTAAATTGCCCTCTATCTCACCATGTTGTATACTAAGCTTGCAAGTTTTAAATATTGATTCCATCTCTTGGGGCCAAAGTGAAGTTTATGCACTTCCAATGTTTGTGAAATTCAAGTTTGTGATTGGTGAGCTCTGAAGACATGCAGAGTCAATTTGATTATATATGCAATTCATTCGGTGAGAAGAAAGTTGAATGCAACGAAGTGTTGAAATTTGAAAAGGGCTTTAGAGTGGGTCGATTCCATTGTAACATGCGTGCTTGCAACCTAATGGAACCTATTTTACTTATATCTGCTCTTCATTCATAGTTATCTGGTTCACATTAAGATTCTAAAATTATTGACTCTTGCTTGGTACCTGGTAGAGGCAAGCTCTTTGGATGTGTTACGCATAAAACTGGTCTCTACTTTGTGCTAGAATTGTTGCACTCGCCTGATTTTGGATGATTCATTGAAATTTGTGTGGGCATGTATTTGACTTCATAGCTGAAAAACTAAATCATTTTCTGTTCTAAAAGCAAACAATTAACTTGTCATGCTTAATGTTGAAGGATGAATTACTTGGATTGGCTGAGGACCCCCATAGTGATCCAATCTTCAAAAACCAATGCGTTGATATGGATGTGATCTACCGTACTGGTGAAACACAAAAGGTAGAATCTTTTGACATTAAACCCTTGCAATATCCTAAATATTTGAATAATCTTTTATTACTGTTACTTGAAAAACATAACATAAACCCTCTGCAGGCAAGGTGTTTTATTCTACGGCATCAGTACATGTGATGTATACTTTTGCTTTCTTTTTGATGTTATTATATGGATGACAGTGCAAATTACTTTACTTGCTGAAGCCTCAACCTAGCTTAGTCAGGCAAGGCTCTTGACCTTGCAGGTGTGGGTTCGAGCCCCATGGTGGGTGCCCTTGTTTTCTTATTTACCAAAGGAAAAAAAAGAAAAAGAAAAAGAAAAAGAAAGATGAAGCCTTGACCTAAGTATTTGGGGTTGGTTACTGGATTCCTTTTTTGCTTTTTAGCTCTAATTAGAGCCATATCCTATATCACATCCTTGGAAGTTATATTCTTTTTCTTTTTTCTTATCACCTTAACCAATCTTCTTTTTGTCCAATTGGTGATTCCAAGTTAAATTAGAGAGACGAGTAGGCTTAAGTGCGCCTTGGCGCAATGGGTTGCTCCATTATGACTTAGAGGTCGCTTGTTTGAATCAAGGAAATAGCCTAGTGACTGATTTAATAAACTACTTTGTAAATTCTGTTGTGTTAATATGCTAAATATGAGATGTACAACAGGTGATCACCTAGGCACCAGGGCAGCATATAGGGCCTCTGCCTGGGTTTAGTCACCTTGTATAAAAGCTAAACAAAGTATTTGGAAAGAAGAAATAGCTTTCATGGCTTTTTAGCTTCTCTTACTGTGACCATGAGGCCTTACTATGTTGATACATTTTGGGAATTCTTGGGATTTGTTGAGCTGCTTAAGTAGAAAAATTGGTACCGTAGGGGGCACCGACACATATACAAAGATGTGCTTGTGTTGTAGAAATACACTTCACAGACAGCAGGGCACATGTTAGACACTTTATGGACGTGTCATAATTTTAAAATAAATTTCATTATTTCGGACACTTAGCCAACACTTCCTGGACATTTGGTGGAAGCATCCTAGACAACACTCAACACAAGTCATATATAACACACACACATTTAAGAGTAGCCACATTTGACAATGTTGGAAACAATTTGAGCACACCTCAAAGTTCACAACCTTTTTCCTTCAAGGAAAATAGAAATTATAGAGATGGCCACTAGCAGGACAAAAAGAATAAATTTAATAGGTAGGAGAGTAGTAACATATATAATAATAATAATCTTTAACAATATTCTAATATTAATCTTCTGAATTATTTAACTCTAGTATGTCAATTAAAAATTTATTGAAGTTCTATAATTGTGTAAGTCAGTAGTCTTATATAGATTACTTTATTTGTATAGATAGTCGTGTCCACACTTTGTCTATTGCTCTCTTTTCTTTTCTTTTTTGTAATATTTGGGGTGTCAGTATATCTGTGTTGTGTTGTATCCTTGTTAGTGCTTAGCTGGTACTTGTCATCACAAACCAATTAAGGTGATTCTCCCATTGATGATCACGATCATTATAAGTTCAAATGGGAGACAGCTTGCGTGGTGTAACTGAATCTTATATTATTATTCTGCTGACTTTCCTATATATACATGACACGTTCTTGCTTATGTTTGTTTATAATCCGATGGGCTCAGTTTGTCATTTATAATGGGATTCTGCCGTTCAATCAATGATGTTGTTGGAATTTTGGTCATACTTATTATATAACTTCTCTAACGGGTATATCAATTATTGTCAATCAGACATGTCAAGCTAGCTGTTAGCGAATATGATTTGCAGCGCCTTGATTGCTTCTTTAACTACTTCTGACTTGCAAAGTTTTCAACAGATTGTGCTTCTTGTGTTATTGCTTATATGTTATCATTTGCAGGGCGTTCTTACGTATACCCCTCGCTTGGTTTCCGTTGATCTTCAAGGTATTTGATCTAGTTGTTACGTCTATTCATTACTGAAATGTACTTTCTTTCTGCTACAAGCCGGAAATCTACATCTATATATATATATATATTTTTTTTTATATTAATGCAGTTTTCTCATTAGTCATTACATAATTCGTGCATTCTTCAGCTCATTTTGTTTACTCTCAAGTCCTATGCATTTTTTTTTAGTATCCATTTAAAATTGCACCTTTCATGGTTCAGCTTTATGCGTTTTTTTAAGGATACAATTTTCGCATTACAATATATCATCAACAGAACTTGTTTTACAATACCAGAAAAAATTCAGGTATAACTGACTTTATAATTCTGGGTTCCTGAATTTCTCCATTTCTTTTACCTCCTTTGGCTACATATTAAAATCTCTCAGCCACATCCATGGTGTAAAAGTTCCATCAACTCGTACTATTCATTGCCTGTCACGGTCTAGTTGCTAAATATTTTACATGGTAATTCATGATATGATAATTTCAGCGAGAAGTATAAATTATCCAGAAATTTGATTAGTTTCTATGTTCTCATAGTGGCAGCAGATCTATCAGGAAGTTTCGGAAAGAAGCGTAACACGTTTGTGATGCTCCCTTGTCATTCTTGTAGATTAGGTTAGCCAAAATTTGTGTGTCAGATGTTGGCTGATAACAATGCACAATTGGTTTATCAAATCATTTTCAGTGTTAAATATTATTAGAAAGGAGAAGACGCCCTAATGATCTCTGAAAATGCCTTCGATCCCTTGTTAACCTGGACTTCCCAAAACATAACCAACTGCTTTAATTTGATTACCCCAATGTGATGTGGGCTTCTTGAAGCATAACCATCCATATTAAATTTGATTATTCCTTCAAACCAACCCTTCTAAAAATTGTTGGTAATTGCTCTATAATATGACCTATAATACGACTCAACCTAATCCCTTGAATCAAATTTTATGGCATAGTCACCAAGGTCCATGGAAAGAACCAAAAAGTGCCATATCTAAAAAATTCTTCCCTTCTATCCTCAGTACTAGAGATGGATGAATTCCATATGCCAAAATTTAATAGTGTTTTCTGAGAAAACCTGGTAATGAAGAATACAATGGAAAAGCAAAAGAAAGGAAAATTAAATTTAGATAACATTAAAGAATGGTCTTGTGTTGTGTTGGATTGGCAAGTCTTGGCAAATTCCATGAGCAAACAAACTTGTTAGGTCAGTAGGATGCATTACTTTATTGAATGAGCCAACATTGAATCTATGATTCAAGACTGAAGGTCAACCTAAAGATCGCACTCACATAATTCCTCAAGCTTCTATGCAGGGCTGTAAACGAGCCGAGCTTTGGGCTGTTCGGGCTCGGCTCGAGCTTGATCAAGTTTTGCCAGCCCAGGATCAAGCTTGGCTCGGCTGTGCACGAAGGAACTCGAGCTTGGCTTGGCTGTGCACAAAGGAGCTCGAGCTCGGCTCGGCTGCTCGTTTATTTATATCAATAATAATAAAAAAAACCCGATCTACATATATAAATATGTGTTTCCATATCAATCTTTGTTTCTATCTCCAAAGTCCATTGATATCGATTTCCATATCTATCTTCTGTAAAAATACTCCCAAGATCATGTCAATATAAAGAGGGGGGAAGTGAGGCTGGATGAGAGAGAGAGAAGGAGAGGGAGAGAGAGAGAGAGAGAGAGAGAGCACTAACCTGAAAGAGTACCCATTTGCAGTGGTCGCCGATCTCAGTGTTTTCCGATTAATGTTGCCGCTGCTATGTCGTAAGGTCTTTGGGGGAGGGGTGGTTAAACAGATAATGATGTCTTAGGGCTTAGATAGATAAATGGGGGAATGGGCTTGGTAATAAGTAATGGGTTTGGTTAGTTTTCTTTTCAATTGGGTGAGAACACACAGATGACAGATGGGCTGTAATGGAGATAGCTTGGGGCTGGACTATTTTAGTTTTATAATGGATGAAAGTGTTGGGTTGAGACTTGGACTTGACATTTATTAGTGGTAAAAATAAAATACTAATGTGGATTAATTAAATATTATGTGGACTTAAAAAATTTTTATATATATATATATATATATATATATACATTTCGAGCTTAAAACGAGCCTTTAAACAAGCCTGCTCACGAACAAACGAGCCGAAGGAGTTGTCGATTTCTACTCTTAAATTCTCTATTATTTCCGCCCTTTTTTGTTGGGTTTCTTGGAGAGATCATAGATCTTTAGAGGAAATTGTCGATTTTTTGGCCTCTTTGAAGGCTTAAAGGTCCTTTGTGGCCGTGTGTATTTCTTCTGGGCTTCGCTCCCCTTTTGAGCGCTTTTTAAAATTTTTTCATACTTATCAAAAAAATAAAATAAACGAGCCTAAGAATTTGGTTTGAGCTTGGTTCGTTTATTAATCAAACAAAAACGAACCGAGCCCTTAACGAGCCGAGCTTGAGCTATTTGTCGAACGCTTGGTTCATTTACAGCCCTACTTCTATGATCACGCACTAGGCAATGGTAAGTGACTTACAGACTACAGATCGAGTTGAATAAATGCTTGATTTAATGGTAGAATAAATCTGTCATTTTTGAACCTATTTGGAAACTAATTAAATTGTGTGGGATGAAAAATATATGTGAATATTGGAGATAGATGCTTCTTTGGAGTCTGGAGGGCCGATAGGCCTATAGTCTTGAGGATCTTAGACGTTCTTTAAAGTATTTGTTAGTAGTTTTGTGGGATTTTGGTGGTGGAGGTTTGCTTCATATATGTTCAGCCTCTTTTTGATCAAGGGCTTTTATAATAACTGGAGAGCCATAGGATGTGGAAATGTATTGGGATGGAAAAGAGTTTCTAAGATCCTCCGATTATCTATTATCCTGATGAAAACAATGATCTCGTGATGCTTTTGATATTTCAATTTAAGTTTTACGTGATTTCATATGAAATTTGCACTTATTTTTCATTGTGGGCGCCCGTGTCACAAAAAAAGTTGTGTCAATTGAAATCTGCACGTGTAAATAATTATCTTGTATTGACCTTAAATCTTATAATAGATGGCAATATTTGTTGTTATGTTATTTAAGAAACCTATTTTTATTTGGCTGTCATTGCAGGATCCCTTGGATCCATGAGTTCAAGTGGTACACTGTACAGCGAGTTCTCGCCTCAACCATCTGATGTTGTCACATGGTGAAGCTTTGATCCTAAGGAGTTTTGCATTTATGTGCTTTGCTTGTGCTCCTTATGATACATGTCGCTAAACTTGAAAATATTTATTTATGAATTTTGAAGAATCATTGTTATAAACAATGGATGACAATTATTTGCGATTATTTGTCGAAATTAATATCCCCTTTTAAGGTTGCATGTTAAAAGTTTTGAATGTTTTAGAGATTATGCATTGTCAGAACCGTAGGTCAACTTAAAGGAGTGAACTTGTGACTCTTTAGTTGGCAAACTTTAATAGTTAATATTTAGAGCAGAGTTTATAGATTTGGGAAAAAAGGAAAATTACTTTAAAAAACTATTGAGAAAATTTCTGCTAATAAGATCTTTTGCAAGTAGATAAGCAGTTTTGTTTATGTTATGTGGGTTTAATTATGATGCATCATGTTGGAGATGACAATTGGAGCACCTTCTGAATAAAATTTGGTCACTAAACCCAAGTGACCTTACTCTTTGCTTTCAATGTTCCATTGAGAACAGCTGAATTAGAAGCTTTTAAGGAGCATCATGATAATTCATTTGTGAATTCAGATTTCAGACTTCCAGTTTTATGCTCTAATCACTGTTTGATTTCCATGGATTGCTTCTAGTTTTCATCAGCTTTAGTTGACAACTAAGGGTTTTCCAGAATAATTGTTAAATCCTTGAAAGAAATTTGTGGAGGTTATGGTTATTCAATGCTTCTTTTGAGAAGTGTCTGTTAATATGTTTGTCATTCTCTTTTGATTAAATATTACTGAACGAACACCAGCTGAAACAAGATTTCAAAGTTGACATAATTTAGTACCGTCCATAACCAACATAAGCTCATGTTATCTTTGCGTAACCTTGATTTATGGTAAACTAAAAAAGCTAATGTAGATATTACTGTTTTTCTTGAAATTATAGGGAAGCCAGAGCCTATGTTACTTGGACTTGGGTAGTTGTATCGGGTGCAAGCATGTGTCCCAAGTGTCAGACTCCCCTGAATCGTAAATTTTAGAATGTGAGGACTCAACTTGAAATGTGTCCAAACTTGGATACGGATGTGTGGTCGTGTCTTGCTCACTTAAAAACATAATATGCTAAATAAAAGTGTAATATATCATACTCTTATTTTTTAAAATTTACTCAACGCCAACTTAGATTAAATGGAATATGGTTAAAAAAATGAGATTCTGCCTATCTCAGAAGTAGAAAACTCCTTGGTTACCAAATTTGAGCTTTACTTCTTCTGTCATCAAAATTATAGGATCTAGGTGCCCAATCCGGGTATGGGTGTTGGATACATATTTCATACCCATACACAAGTAATGTTGTGTTAACACAGGTATGTTGATGGGAATAGTAGAGTCCAGGTAACATAGATCAGAGCTACTTGAGTCTGGTAAATTGTGTTATGAATTATCAAGCTGTTACTTACCCAACAAAAAAAAAAAGAATTATCAAGCTGTTATTTGCTACCTTTTCTGTGCACTGAGAATGAATTGAAAGTCTCACACCATTGTGCAGGACTGGTAGAGTTTCCACTCATGAATCTGAACCTAGAAACAAGAACTTGTTCCTGCAAAGTTTATACGAGGAAGAGCAAGAGAGATCGGGAATGATGAATGGTATCAACAGTGGGAAGAGTGATTTTCATAGTCAATTTCGGAATAGCGACATAACTGAATGTCTAGAAAGTGGTGTTAAATTTTGGACAGACTATTCAAAAGTTCACTATCATCCCCAGAGTCTATATGAATTAAAGACGGACAATCAAGAATTTGACAATTATGGACTTGGAAGGGATGCCTTCATTGAAGGTCTGCAAGGAGAAGATCTAAATGATAGGCTTCGTTTTTTCTTAGAAGAGTGTGACCATATTCAGGTATTTTATAAAAATGACCTCCTAACCTTTTGTGTTGTACAGCTGAGAAAGTCTTAGAGGTGGTTCTATCCAAACTCATTTTTTTTTTTTTTTTTGGTCAGTTTTTTATTTTTGTCTTCTCTTTTACGTCTCCAAATTGAATCGAACTACTATAATTATCCACCATATCTCTATGATTATGGCTAGATCTTTTTTGTTTCTTGAATATTCTACATAATTTTTATAGTTGGTACAACAATTTTATTTCGTTTTGAGTATGCATTATTCTTCCTCTAAAGTAGCCATGTTATGCTAATGACCGCTGGTATAATTATAATGCCTGATGGCAATAAATCATTCAATTTAACATCTAGGAAAATTTCTTCCTTTGTCCATGTAAAGTTTATTTAAGAAAGAAAATACAAAGATGAACATAAAAAGTTAATGATTATTTATTTCATGTGAATTATTAGTTATCTAGTATATTTAATATTTTCCTGGGGTTTTAGAATTACAAGAATTTTTTTTTTTTTTTTTTTTTTTTTTTTTTTTTTGAATCTTTCTTTTTAAAAGTTGTTCTTCCTTTACCTTATGCAGAGTAGTTGATGATGTAACAACCCTTTCCACCACATGGTATGATATTGTCTGTTTTGGGTCCGAGACCACACGGTTTTGCTTTGGGTTTACCCCAAAAGTCCTACCAATCCTACGTATGTAACACTTCCCCTTTCCACACCTAGGGATCGTGCACCCATAGCCTGCCAATGCCTCGCACCCGCTCACACACACCCACCACAAGGTCGCCACAATCACCCCCCTTAGGGGCCCAACGTCCTCGTTGGCCACACTTTCGGCTGGGTTAGGCTTTGATACCATTTGTAACAACTCACTCCACATGGTATGATATTGTCCGCTTTGGGCCCGAGCACGTACGATTTTGTTCTTGGATTTACACTTTTACCCCAAAAGGCCTCATACCAATTGGAGTTTTGGCTATCGGATGTGAAGTTCCTTGGACATGTAGATGGAGTCTTTGTGGATCTTTTGAAAATTGTGGCTGCAATGAATGGGGAACAACCGAAAAATGTATTTGAGATTCGTAGTTTATTGGGACTAGTTGGTTACCCCTGCTGATTTGTGGAGAATTTCTCACGACTAGCTGCACCTATGACTCAACTCACTCGTAAGGGAGTTAAGTTCATTTGGGATGAGGCTTGTAAGCAGGCTTTTCAAGAGTTGAAGAGGAGGTTGACCACTTCCCCGGTTTTAGTGATACCCAAGCGTGGCTTGGGTTACACCATTTGTTGTGATGCCTCACGGGATGGTTTGGGTTGCATGTTGATGCAAAACCGAAAGGGTGGTAGCCTATGGTTCACGTCCCCATGAGTATAATTACCCAACTCACGACTTAGAGTTGGCAGCGGTAATTTTTGCCTTGAAGATGTGGAGACATTACTTGTACAGAGAGAAATTTGGGATGTTTTTTGATCATAAAAGCCTCAAAATCTATCAAGGTAGGCACTAAAGACACGGTTCATCAAATCTATTGTGGTGACCTTGTGGGCTAGTGTGCATGGGTGGGTGCGAGGCACTAGCAAGTTATGGGTGCATGATCCCACATCGCCTAGGTGTGGAAAGGGGAAGTGCTATATATGTAGGTGGTGCTATCTCCAATTGGTTTAAAGGCTTTTTGGGATAAAATCTAAGAACAAAACGGTGCGGGATCGGGCCCAAAGAGGACAATATCATACCATGTGCTGGAGTGGGTTGTTACAAATGACCTCAGTCATACCAGACCTCTATTGAGCTGTACCATTAAGGGTATCTATGCCTCCAGTCGAGCGACTCCAAATAAGTTCAGAAGTGCTAAGCCTATTTACAATTTACATTTAATGGCAGCATATTGGGACTTATAACAGAGAACCTGAATCCAATGCTTATTTATTTATTTATTATTATTATTATTTTTGCAATAGGTACACATTGAGTTGTTGAAATATATTGTTAAACTCAGCATAAGCTTTTATACTTTCTAGTTGTTAACAATTTTTTAAGGCTGGAAATTCTTCTGATCACATCTTGTTACTTACCGAATGATATATAGTTTTACATGGATGGCCACTCAAGATAGGCCATATATGAGAAGTGTTCAAAAATATTATTGAAACCCTCTCTAATGACATAAGCTTTTAGAGTAGTCAGTTTAACGTGATCGCTACTCCCCCAGGTCTGAATTTAACATTGTATACTCTGACGTACTAGAGCCAAGAGTGTCGGTCTATACATTGTAGCCTTATGAATGTCATGTTCTTGTAGGTGGTGACATACTTCTTCAGGAACTTTCCTTGAAGTTTCCATAGATTGATGTTATAGTTGCATTATAAAGGCCACTTGTCATTTTGAAAATTTCAGGACATCCTATAGAATGTTGGTTCAAGCCCTTACCAATGCCTTTGAATCTGAGATTCTCAACATGGATTATTATTTTTCACTCGTTACTCCTTTTCAATCCCTGTTTTGAACTTGTGATAAATTTTTCAGGGATTTCAATTTATTGTCGATGACTCAGGAGGATTTTCTGGTGTAGCTGCAGAATTTTTGGAGAATGTTGCAGATGAATACACAAACATCCCTGTCTTGCTCTATTCTGTCCGAGATCCTCGCTTTTACATGACCCCAAGGAGCCGGAAGCAGACAATCTTGCAGAATCTTCATGATGCTGTTTCATTTTCAAGACTATCATCCTTCTGTAAATTATATGTGCCTGCTGGTTTACCCTCCCTTGGTAGAAGTAAGCCATGTTTGTTTTGTGGAAAAGTAATTTTTGATAAGTTTCTTGCTTTCTTTGGTGATATTACCATATAAAATTTTAGTCATTTTTCAGAAATCTGGGTTCTTTTAACTTTAAGTAGCTGCACTTTGTTATCCGTTAAACCTTTTATCTTCTGATGTTAAATATTTTAATGTTGGAATGCTTAAATATGGATAACTCGGTGTTATAAACTCAAGTTGTGTCGTTGGTTTGGTCTTCAACTTGTTTACTTGTACCTCCATTTATATTTGTTTTTCATATGTTTACCCTTTTTTTTTTTTTTTTTTTACTTACACAATGTTTTGCTTATATGATGGTGAAGGTAACGCTTCTAGGTTTCTCCGCATAGACGATAAAAAACCTTACCACTCCAGTGCAGTTTATGCCTCTGCTTTACACTCTATTAGTCTCCCTTTTCGAATGGAACCACTTGGGCCTACTGCAGAGTCATGCTATGTATCTGGTTCTATAGATGTGAATGGAGTGATTCAAATGCTCTCTGGCCAAGCTAGGCAGAATATGGTTACTATTCTCGATGTTGCAATGCCGGCACCTTCTTTGACTGGTATTTTGATCTGTCTATTCACTCACAAACCCTAGTTTAAGTGACAAATCTTTTTAAGCTGTGGTTAATAAATCCAGGAGAACAAACCGAGCAATATTTGCTGGGGAATTTGCATCCATTAACCCCAGAGATAGCAGAAGATGTGGAAGACGTACAAGCATTGGAATTTATGACCATTCATGGAGCTCTTGGATCAGGTATTTCATGCATAATGTCAGTTGAATATTTTTTCCCCTTCGTTTTTCACATCCTATTTTTCTGCTACGTTAAAATGGCTGCTGGTAGTATGTTGGGTGTGGGTATTGTGTCTAGGTGTTGGGTTTATTATGTTTTTTTCATTACATTATTACTTCAAAACAAGTGAGGAGTCATTTTATAATTCTATTTTATTCTATTGGGTGAAATGCTGTTGTGTCCTTGGGTTAGGAATTCTATAAACATATGTCAAAAATAAACATACCCAATATAATAAACAGGAATTATAGGATGTGCTTGCTTGATGCATGTTCAACCAAATCTGTCAAAAATATAACCCGTACCCAGACCCAAGTGTATTATGTTACTAATACCGATGCTTTACCCATTTAGAAGGCGGCTCTAAACAAAAATATCACCCTAGATTTTCTTTAGTATCTTAAACATGCTTCTCAATAGCTTTTCATATCCTTATCTCATCATTAAATTCTTCCTTGATATCTTGAGACTTGAGCTATGTTTCTTTTACTGCCTTGGGTTGAATAGAAATATTGGCTTTTAATGGATGGTAGAGTCTAGCAATGTACTTTCTTGATGACGACTAATCAGTTTGCCAATTTACAACACTGTTCAAGTGATTCATGGTAATTGGCACTACTTGTCTGTTCCATTGAACTAAAAAGGTTCAGTCGGACTTTAGGGTCACAAGTAGTTTTGGGGTTTAAATCCCCAATCTCAATATTATCACCTAGGCTGAAAATATCCCAGATATTGGGCAGCAATCTTATGAAACTACCATTTTTTCACACATTTCCATACACTTAGGAATTGTAGCATAACATTTTGGATTTAATTCTCATTCTATTTCATTGAAGAAAATAAACATTGGTAAAGCACATATAGCGTTGTTTGCAAGAAGGAAGGAAAACAGCAATAGAAAAGGAAAAAAAAGAGAGTGATTTCAAAATTTTATGTTTTTATAAACATGAGAAATCATTCTTTCTTTGGTTGTTGAACTAGCTGAAACTGAATCATGTTTCGTGTTTTGAGTAAATGTCTAAACAGGAATTGTATCTGGCAGTGCGATAGCCCACCAACTTACAAATAGCTGAATACTTGGCTCACTAACAGATTTGAAAATTAAATATGTGAGAAGTTAATGGTAACCTAAAAAGTAAAGGATTTGGAATTTCCTTGCTGTACTCTATTAATTTCTTTCTTCTTTTTTATTTGTGAAGAAATGAGTCATTCTTGATGAGGTCATGAGGAGAGTAGAAAAAGTAAAAAGAAAAAGAAAGTATTTTGGGCTTAACTAGGGGGTTTCTTCATGAAAAACTATCTCCTGCGAAATGAAAAATCGCTGCTGCATGAGAAGTTGCAACGGAAGACTTTTTTTTGTCAAAATACTGGATCCACACTGTTTCTGTAAAACAGGCTTCACAGTTCACATAGAATCACGTTGGTCTGCACTTGCAGTACTTTTTTTTTTTCACTGCCCCCAATTTCTATGAAATAAAGGATGCTCATTACACGAGTGGGTTGTTTTTTGGTTGTATGGTTTAACATAGACAAAAACCCATCGCATGGTTTGATTTTTGTCTTTCCTTTCCACTAGCATTTCCACACAGTCAAATATCTTAAATTGGTGGACTGTTAAAGAGGAAGGGTCTTCTTCGCCTTCATCCTGCATTACCTCCCATCAGATAGTTGTCTTTTGGTTGTATTGCTTGACATAGCATTTGTAATAACTGTTAAAACTATACTCCATGATATCTTTCGTTACTATATCCATACAATTAATTTAGGTATTCCCTTTAGTAATTTCTATTTATGTGGCTCAGATCACTCTCCCTTACTCATGCAGCTATTGGTTTTCATTGTACATGACCAAACCATTTTAGTTGTTTTCTCTAATTTTATGTCCAAAGGATGTTAATTCAATCATTTCTTGAATTTAATCATCCCTAATTGTCTCCCTTCTCGTCTTACAATGTTTCACAAAGTATAGTTGATCATTTAACTAATTTATATAATTTACCTTCCAATTTTTTAGGTATATGTTGATTTCATTTTCTCCCCCTTTAAATAATTGAGACTAGATAAAGAAACTAATTACTTTTTAGAATCTCTTGACCCTCAATTTTTACTTAATCTCCACTTTTATTCTAATTTTTACTAATATTACATTTGATATTTTTAGTCTTTATTGTCTATCACCTTGATCCTAGAGCATCTTTAGCACTTATCCCTTAGTTTAATCAATCAAAACAGTATCATCTATAAATTGCAAGCATACTTGTATATAATATATCTCATAGGCACTTCATAAACGCTCTCAACCCTATGGAATTCTAAGATAGCTGCTCTCACTCCTGCTTGTGCGCTCGCTTGTGGTCTAGATCAATGCTTCACCACTTGGCTACTGCAGCTCATTGCCCAAAAGCTGTTAGATCCAAATTTGTACTCAGGAAATTTAGAAAATTAATGGATGTCTCACACTGATAGTTATTGTCTAAATTTAAGTTTCTTACCGGTCTTTTTTATCATCATTTTCATAAGTAGTCAAAATTTGAATTTCTTTTCTCTCTCTCTCTCCGTTTTTTTTTTTTTTTTCCTCTGGGTAACAAAGAATCAACCCACCAGCTAACCACTTTGGACTCTCGATCGAACCCATGGCGTCCGAGTTTACGGTTCGCCCTAGGAGACCCCTCATCCACTGGGCCACCCGTGCGTTTCTTTTCTTCTTCTGCCTTTTTTTTTTTTTTTTTTTGGTGCTCAGCACTTGGAAGCTTCCCTATCTTGCTTTGTATATGTTATGTTAGGTTGGAACAATTGGAGATGGATTAAACTTGTGATTGTTTTCTTATATTGGATAACTTAGAATAATTAATAGGAAAATTACATATACGCACTGGATGGGGGCCATAGCGCAGCAAGCAAAGGATTATGGACCACCCTTGCACCTTTCCTTTATCCATTCTGCCTCCTTTGCTTTGTTCCAATAGAGGTAAGGCAAAGCTAAAGTGGTTCGTATGCCGGAAATGAGGGAATGTCTACAATACCTGAGTTTAATCAGATACAATTTAAAGGATTTTTTAGGTTCATTGATCAAGGCTTGACGCTAATGTTGGTCCTATTGGATTACTTGGAATAGTTAATAGGAAAATCACATATGCGCACTGGGTGGGGGTTAGGTTTCCTGTTTTTGAAGGGCAAAAACCACAGCATGAGGAAATCCAAACATAGATAAAGGGCAAAATGAATAGAACTCTAGTATAATTCTCTCCGGTTATCAGCTCTGCTAGCACATATTATTGACGGCTATGTAGCTGATTTTGGTCACTTAACTATTCTGCTGCTTGCTGAAAACTTGGCAATGCATTCAACTCCTATATTATTTTATTTTACAGGACGTCACCGGGCTTTGGTTTCTGAAGTAAAGGACAGAATTGTAGCTGACTATGAACATGCAGTTTCAAGACCCAAGTTCTCTCATTTGGCTGTGGCTTCTTGTCCTCTCCCAATACCCTTGCCTTTTCCTTCAATCTTTGGGAACCTTGTTGGTAAACAAGGCGAGCTGTTAGAAACTCTAATTTCGGGTAATCCATCAAGGGGATCACTCGACGTCCATTCCATCCCCATAGCAGCAAGGCTACGTTCTAGCAGTGCTGTCTTGCCATTCGTGGAGAATAGGTTGGTAAATCTTCGCAGGTTTGGTATTCAGCGAGGAGCACCTGGGACTGAATTGCTCAGGAGTTGGGGTTTCGGGAAGGAGGAACTAGAAGACATTGGAGAGTCAATGTCTAAGATGGTTAAGACACTGGATCCTTCTTCTCAAGCATCGTCTGATTCAGATTAAGTTTTTGGATATGTATATAGATCCAGCTAACTTCATGTGTCTGTACTAACAAAAAAAAAAAAGAGGAACGAGGACAAAAGAAAAGAAAAAGAAAAAGAACGAAAGAAATGTAAAAAAGCAGCAGCGCCGGGACATCTTCTGTATTTCTTTTATCAACTTTTCTCACCTGGGTTGGGTTGTTAAATTTTCTCTACTTTCAGAGGTGTATACATTTTTTTTTTTCCTTCTTTTCCCCCTACATTCCTTGTTTTTCTGTTTCTTTCTCATAATATTTTAGGCATGAAATCTTTATGGTTTTTTTTTACCCAGAGGTATCTGCTGTTGGATGGCATTAGGTATTATTTACACACATTTGTCTCTGAGACTTGAACTCTGACTTTCTTTTGGAAAGTAAGAGACTGATATCCATAGACCATTGATTTGTCCTGTTGGTTTATATTTCATTATAAGTCATCCATAATTATATGTTAAATAACCGACATTCATTATTGGTCATTTATATGGTCAGGACTGAAGTTATAAGATCATAATGCAACAGTTTCCATTAAAAATGAATTACGGTCCAATATTCAATGTAAACTATACAATTAAAAAAGTAAATGAGTAGTGTAAAAAGTGAATTGTTTCATTTACAATTTCTGATTTACTTTTACATGTACAATCAATCAAAACTTGTTCATTAAATAAATCACTTTAACCAAAGAAAATTAAGTTACTCGGTTAACCACACTAACCGTTGAGGGTTCAAATGTGAACGTTGAGATGAATGTTCGGTAACATAAAAAAATGATAGAAATAAAAATAAACACATTTATAAGAGTTGGAGCAACTTTAATTAAAAATTAAATGGGAAAAAGGAAATCAATTGAAATGATTATTACTGTACATAGAAATAGAAATAAACACATTTATGAGAGTTGAAGTAACACTAATTAAAAATTAAATGGAAAAAAAAGGAAATCAATTAAGATGATTATTAAGTGCCCCAATTAAAAAAGAGTGATACGTTTCACATTAACTCTAATACAAGGAAGGGAAAGACTAAAAAAAGTTTAATGTAGATAAATTAATTAAAAACCTTGACAACATGTGATTTTAGTAAGATTATGATCTCAGATACAGCATGCTGGTGTCTTTTCATAGTGTTTGGAAAATGCAGTATTAGTTAAGGAGGAAAAAAAAAACCTCAAAACATATTTTATTTTAGGAGTAGCAAGGAGAGAAATTTGGTTGTGCCTGTTACGCGCATCTGATCATTCATTGGTGTGCATCTAATACATTACACAGACAGTCCAAATGCGACCGTGGCAATCAAAATTTTTTCAATAACAAGAATGAACAGAGATTAACTTAAAACCTGTAATAAATTCTTTAAAAAGTCCTCAGGTCCAAATACTATTTTAAAAAGTTAGGGCTCTCCTTCTAATCCTCTCCTCTATTTTTTCCTCATTTTTAAAACAAATCCAAGATTTGCCCTTTTTCTCCTCTTCTCTATTTTCCTTCCAAATTCCTCAACCTATGAACCTAACACGGTGTAGGTCTCTCTATCATGGGGGGGTACCTCCACCTGCAAGATAGTTTTTCCCGCGAAAATATGAGCTTACCTACCGTATGAAGGATATCATACCCTAAAAATTATACAAACCCTTTATCAGTCATTTGAGTGCAAGATGGACCACCAATTTTTCAATTTGAGACTTCAATCCTTTTCTTGGCGTGTAAATAAGTGCCACATTCGTTTGTCAAAACGATATCGTCTGCTACTTAAAATTTTATTACTTAGGATGAATTTCATTACTTTAATTAGTGAATTTTCAATCTCACATTGATTATATTGATCAATGTAAGATTGAAATCCTCCTAGTCTAATTTCAATCTTACATTGATTAAAAGAACTCCTTCGACTTGTAATCATTTTTCAATAAATCCTCCTTATCTAATTTCAATCTTACATTGATTGAAATATAAGATTTGTTTAACAAAACTTTATAACCTAAGAAAAATAGAAAATCTAAAAATCTACTGCAACAATCTTATTTTATTTTATTTTTTATAAAATACTCTGGTTAGTTGCAAGAAATTTTTTAGAATTATTCATTTTCATATGGAGCATAACAATATAAAAAAAAAAAAATAGCCCTAATAGAGACCGAATATTCAATTTTTTTTTTTTTTTTAAAAAAAAATGGTGAGTCTATAAAAGAATGAAAATACTTTGACGCAAAATATGATATCTCATGAAATCGAATTCCATTAGGGTTAAATTTTTTATACATTCGGATTCGGCTCCATATGTAAATGAATAAATTTGAAAATTTTCTTACAAATATCTCGAGTATTTTATTTTTAAATAATTTGCATAAGATTGTTGGAGTAGATTTTTAAATTGCCTATCTCTCTCTGATTATTAAGGTTTACTGTAGAAATCTTATATTTTTGAAATCCTTATTTTATAAACTTTCCATGCATATATTATTTATAATTTTAAAATGTACGATTTGTGATATATGAATTTTTGAAATTCGAGAGAATTAAGATTTAAATAAAGGGGTATTTTTGTCCAAATATCAACTATTTTACCCGTTCAAATAGTTAAGGGGGATTCTTTGATAAAAAATTAGATAAAGAGAATTTTTTAAAAAAAGCTACAAGTTGAGGAGGGTTCTTTAGTAAAAAAAAAAAAAATAGACAAAAAAATTTTATTAAAAAAAACTACAAATTGAGAGAGATTTTATGTACTTTGCTCTTACTTTAATTAGTGAAATTTCAATATTACGGTGATTAAATTGATCATTTAAATTAAATGTATTATGAAATTTCAACTGATTTGTTACACCGAATGTTTCGGATTGATTATTTATACATAGTACATGTAAGTGGAGGGTCCCACTTGTTTATTTATGTAACCGATTAAAATAAATAGGTCTGATAATTTATTATAACAAATGACATAAATAAAAAAATAGGACCCTCTACTTACATATATTATGTATAAATAATTAATCAAAAATATTCAATATAATAATTCAGTAAAATAAATCAATGTAAGTATCATTATTTTAACAATAATAAAAAGTCTACGAAAGCTTTTAGGATCCTTCAATTTGCATAGGATCGCGTAGCCCTAGAAGTCAATCTATTAGCAGTACAATTTTTTTAAGATTTTAGTTTCCATTGAAGGCACTTTAAGAGGATCAAAGTACCAAGTATAATAATCGTTTTTAATTATATCAAATACATTACACGATTAAATGCACATGGTCATTCATGCCAGTTCCACAAAATCTATGAGCCTGACTGTGATTCCGTATAATAATTCCAAAGCCTATACATATCTGCTTTTACGGGAATATAATATGTGTATATATATATATATATATATTAAAAAAATTATATAAACTAAAAGGTGGATCTCTCGTCTTGACTCTAGAGATTTAAGAAAATCATAGTCAACAGTAATAGATATCTGAGGTCTGGCCGTATTCACACGGATTAATCAACGCCTTTTATTTTTTTGTCTTTTTCCTTTTACAATGGGCTTCAGAACTGGGCTGTCACTTGTAAATATACCACTAAGACTAATTATATACACTATTACGCATACAATCAGTTGACCAACATAAGATGCAAATTTGTCCCAACAAAAAAATACTGTGCTTTTTACTTTTTATTTTTTATTTTTATAGAATTTAATCTGTTAATCAATAGATTTTTCTTCTAAAAAAACACAGGTTACAAAATTTACATTTTACAGGCTCATGCTACTGTCGGCTTCAGGCGGTGGCTGCCAACAGTGACAAAGTACAATTAAGTTTTATCAAATGTACTACCACAAATTCAAATTAATTATGTAAATCAGCTTTCATTGAAGTTACTATTATACCCTCCACTGTTCAAAGATTGAGCTAATTTTTTTAAAAAAATCAATTTTAAGTTATCGATTCAATACTCTCAGTGCAACGTTGAAGAAAATCAACGTAACGTTGAAGAAAATAAGAACATTCATCACCAAGACGGATCTAGAAATTCTTGAGTTGGGGGGTAATTTTAAAAATTTTACTAGTATAAATACAAAAAAATATAAATTTAAGAGTGTAAAATGCAAAAACAAAAAATTTAAATGGAAGCGGATACTCCCACTGAACCCACAGTACATCCGCACCTATTCATACCATTCCTCTCTTCTCTTTACACATGCCGGCCAACTTCCAATAATAATAAATAAATAAAAGCAATAGAAGAGAAGAAAAATTGGAGAATGTTAATGAATCCAAGAAAAGATATATGGAAAGTTTATTTTTGTATCCCACTTGAAAGGATTAGTAAAGAAGGATGGTATAAAAAAATTTCCAATGCGGCATCAACAAGTAAGATTCGCCAATGTAAAAGCTAAAACAGAGAACACAATAGTTGAAATTGATGTAGCTCCTCCTACAATTTCAAAATGTACCTCCCAAGAAATAGTCTTCTTCACATCAGAACCCCCCAAAAAAAGGACTATGGTTACTTTGCCAATTTTAACTCTCTCTCAGGCGTCAACATCTCTCTCTCTCTCTCTCTCTCTCTCTCTCTCTCTCTCACTCTCTGTATGCTTGTATAGGCAGAAATGAGCTGTATCATCAAATAGCCAAACAAAATATGTTAGGACATCTGTTGGTCACCGCAAATAATATTTAATACATTTCAATTTCAAAATATTACAAATAATAAAATATAGAATTTGATGTCCATGCTAAAATGGATATAACATTAATTATCCTCTTTCAATACAAGTATATAACTATAGAAAATACGACACTTACATTTCAAGTACTCACAGTGTACATTTTAGGCATTACCTTATCAGTGATTATTTTATTTTATTTTATTTTTTTATTATTATTTTTTTTTCTCTTCATATTATACATTGGGCAAATTGAAATTTCAAACTAAACCTTTCAAAAATTCTTTAATAAGTTGAGAGGGAAAAATAAAGGTCAAATTGAGCTTTCGTCACCCTAAAGGACATGCATTGGACGTTCAAACGCCACCTAACTCTAATAAAGCTTGTGTTGGACAATATTGTCATTTACAAAGTAAATAAAAATTCCAAATTGGATACTATTTTCATCATAGCCTGAACAACAAATTATCTTGTACTTCTCCATATGGGATACTATTGTTGTCACAAAATCGTTCTTTTTCTTCTTCTTTTTTCAAAAAAATCAAACAAATTGTATTGCTATAAGTAATAATTACAGTGGCTAATTACTACTATATCCTTCACTGCCACTTTGTCTAATGGTTTTTGGAAACCAAAATTTTATTCAGTACAACAAAATCAATAAACAATGTCTACATATTTAGTCACCCATTTATTATATTTTATTTTTCTTGCCGCCATTTTAACTCTTGCCAACAAAATAATAATTTATTAAATCTTGCCGCCATTTTAACCAAAACAACAAAAGTGCTGAATTCAGCATCCCCAAAACAGATAATTTATTTTGTTATTAATACAACAAAAAAAAAAACAGACCTAAATTTCAACTAAATCACCAAAGGGAAATAATACAAAAAAACAAACAATATTAAATAAAATTAGCTTCTTTTTCTTTTTTAACTCTTCTAAAACATGGTCAATCAAATAAAATATTAAAGGGTTTATATTAACTTTCTTTCACTATTCTCAAAAAGATAGTCAATCAAACTCTATTTACACTCACTAACAAAAAAAAATCTCTCAGAATCCACAATTGTAATTAAAAATATATATATATATGTATATATATAAGGTAGTGTGAAAAGAATTTTAGAGCTCTATCATTTATACCAAATATACCTTTTTAATGAAATCAAATATTCAAAAATAATTTATATAACTCACAATAATAAATTGATTATGAATAATTGGGATTAAAACTTTATTAAATTAGGAATGAGTTATGAATATCAATGGAATAGGACAAAATCTTTTAACCCTTGCACTGCTCAATAAGGAGTAATTTTGGCTTTCCACCGCCCACACTGGATGAATATCATCACCCATTCATTCATGTGAAAAGGTCAAAAGGCCAAACTTACACAAAAAAAACGCAAGAGCACCCATCAATCAGAACGCAAAAACCCTCATATACACGAACACAAATAATATACGAAAGAGAAAAGGAGAGCCGACAAAAAAAGAGAAGTAAAAGAGTGAGAGAGAGAGACACATACCTGGAATGAAATTTTGTTGGAAAAATAAAGCAAAGAGGGCACCAGTGTTTGAAAAGACATTAACACGAAGGATCAACGCTCCTCCCCTCCTCGCTTCCGGACCTCTGCTGTTGCTGTGGTACCGGTGGTTGCTGTGGTTGTTGTGGAAGCAAAAGCTGTGGCTGTAGCTGAAGCTGGTGGTGATGACTGTGATCTTGTGGCTGTTGTTGAATCTGATAAGCGTTGTCATATGAACCCAAAGCCAAGGACGGCGACATAGCAGCCGCGGTCATCTGGTTGAACCCACCACCACCGCTCATCGGTCCGGTCGGATCAAATCCACTATTAAACCTCACAAGCTGTTCATGTTGCTGTTGCTGTTGCTGTTGCTGCTGATGATGCTGATGCTGTTGTTGTTCATAACTCCTCAACATCTCCTGCTCTCTCGCCGTGACAACAGTGGCCAATTGCTGTGCCTCAAGCATTTGTGGATGGTGATGATGGTGCTGTTGATGTTGATGCTGATGCTGAGGTTCACGGATTACCAATTGAGCACCATGAGAGCTCCCGGCCTGAAGTCCCATCCCCGCCGCCTGCAGTCCCATCAGCGGGGACATGTTACCATGTAGCGATGCAGACTGGTTATTTGGGTGTTGCGGCATAAATCCAGGGTGTTGAAGGATCGGTAACATTGCAGATGGACCAATGTAATTAGCCAATTCTTTCTTCGCATTATATAGATCTAGCTGAACTTCTTTGAGTCTGTGTTGGAGGATGGAGATTAGACCCACACAACCGTACACGGGATCGCGAAGACGAGCCTCGGCTTCGTATGCAAGTGAATTCACTGCGTCTTCTCGCTGCGCGGTATTGAGTTCGTTCAGAAGCTTTGCGACGTTGCTTGCGCCGAACACTTTGTGAACGTTTGCGAACTTCTGAGGCTGGTCCGGTGGAAAATATGGCGCAAACACACACTCCTGCGTGCATTTCCGGCGAAGAAACTTGCACGCCGCACATGGAGAGTTCGATGAGGACATGTTCTATCTTTTTTTCTAACTCTGTTGTTAGTATATTAACAAAATGAAATTAGTGTTACATTGCATCTATAACACATTCAATTCTCCAGATCAAATTCTTAAAAAGTCAAAACAGTATGGCGAGAGAGATTCGTTTGATATATAATAGGAAGGAACTATATAAACTAAGATATTATTAATATATATATATGCGTATATGGGATTCAGCGAAGTTTCATTTATTGAATTTTGAATAGCAGGTTGCCATTAAAAGCTTCGGATATCGAAACCAACATGGTAAGTCAAAACGATACACACAATCAAACAGTGAAGAAAGAGAGGAAATAATTAAAGCTGTAATTTGTATACAGAAGGGAATGATCTGGAAAATAGAACATAAAATTAGAATATGAACAAATAAAAACGACTTGGAGATATTGGATGTGTGAGAGAATAGTAGCGACTGTAATCGGAAAACTTAACTGAATGATTATCAGAAATGTACTGAACTTACGCGTCGTCAAGCGGATGTTCTCATCTCTTTGAAGCCTGGAAGACGAACCTCTGATTTTCTCTCTCTAGAAGTTTGTCTTGAAATTTAAGAAACGGCTTCGTTTACCGATCTTTGTAGATCCGTTTATTCTCAAATTTGATTTCCAAAAAGGATAAAAAGAAAAATCAAATCACTCTCAAATCTTCTCCTCGCATAGAACCGAAACGTCAAGATCTTTCCTTATCTAACCAAACTCCTGTGAGATTTCGAATTTTTTTAAAACACCAAAAACACAAAAAAAACAAAGAAATCATCAAAATCTCACCTCAGATTATTGTCTCAAAAAAGCTTTTCGGATCGCAGGGTACGATTAATCTCTCTCTCTATATTCTCTCTCTCTCTATCTCTCTCTAAAACTCCTCATGTCATCTGCGAAAAACAACAAAAACAGTAGTGAAAACGGTGAGAAGACGATATCGTGGTCGTCGTCTCCATGCTTCAAAGTGTTGGAAAATGGCTTGAGATTCGAACCTTCCTAATCGTGGGAGAGAGATGACTCTGAGGGTCTAGTCTTCGAGTGCGAGAGCGCTTGATCCGATCTTCAAGTTCACAATCCCAACAGAAATGAAAATTTTAATTTATGATTGTAGAGAGAGAAAGTGTGAGAGAAAATAACAGAATTGTAGAAGAAAAAGGAGAGAGAGGGAGAGAGTTTATTACTGAGGCGTCGACGTCATATATATATGTGTACATATTAATTATTATATGAAATAAGGATGGTATTGAGAATTAATGGAGTGATGACCTGATTGAAGAGAGAAGACAGCGTGCGGTCTATTCTAAGCCGTTCCGATGTGGAGAGAGAGTTGTTGACCGTCTGATTAGAAAACGAGAGTGGGGTAGTTACAACCAGAGGACATCTTTATTCTGACCAAATTAAATGAGTTTCTGAGTTCCCTCTTTGTCCCTGTACCATCTACGTGCATCTAATGCCCCTTGTTGCCTTTCTGCCCCTTCACTGCTCCTTTTAATAGCTGTACAGTTACAGTCCTTCAAATCTCTTTTATTTACCGTTCTATCTTTTTCTTTTTCTTTTTAATATCTATAAAAAAAAATTTGGGTTAAGCATATCTATAATTAGTATTAAAAAAATTCGAGACAAATACCTAAAATAAAACTCGAGTAATGGCCTTAATCCACAAAGATTGAATAAGACACTTTTGGCCATACTTAGGAGAAATTACTATGTGGTTCGGATCATGTGTTCTTTGCCCAATTATGTAATTAAATGTGTTAATTTTATTTAATCATAAATGTATCAATTTTATTTTTTTATTTTTTTAAACGACGAATATTAAACAATGTCATACTCACGAGAGATCATTATGTGATCGGGATCATGTGTTCTTAGCCAGTTGCACAATTAAATGTGTTAATTTTATTAATTTTTTTTTTTAAACGACCAAGATTGAATAAGGCACCTTTAAGTACATGTGAGAATGGATCATTAAGCAACTAAATGCGTCAGTTTTATTAGTCTTATTTAACTTTTTTTCTTAAACCACCAAGATTGAACAAGACGACACCTATGAGAAATTACTACCTGATCCGCGATCTTGCATTCTTGATTAGTTACATAATTAAATGTGGACAATACTTAAATCCTTACTAGTGAAATTTACACCATACTCACATCAAGACAATACTTAGGTAGTGAGATTTACACCGTTGACGTGGACCAATAATAAATTGACACGTCCTATTTTAATTATCAAATCATAAATGATAATCAGATTTGGTAAGCGAATATTTATCTATCATTTTTGATTTGGTAATTAAAGATCACATGTCAATTTATTATTGATCCACATCACTACTGAGTATGGTGTCATAATAAATGAATATGTCATTTTTAATTAACAAATCAAATATGGTAAGGTAGATACCCACTTACCCAATTAGAGATGGTGTTAATCACTATCTCTAATTTGGTAATTAAAACAGAATGTGTCTATTTATTATTGGTCTACATCAATAATGAGTATGGTATCTAATTGTTCTTTTTTCTTTAATTACGTGTAATTGACCAAACCAAATAATACCAAATCATGTAATAATTTCTCCACACTAATATCCCATCTTACCTAAAATATTCATAGTCTTTTGTCAATTATGTTTACTGAATATTTAATATAGTCATTTCAATTTTGGTTGCGCCTGGAATTCAATTGTAAATAGTTTAATGCTCTATTATAAAATATGAATCACATTGGAATGAAGTTGTACTTTGTTTTATAAATTATTAGCTAGTTATCAATGGTCATAGTCTCAATTGTTGTTAACAACTAGGGAGTATATTCTTTTGATTGTTGTATTCATTCATCTATATATTGAATTTGAAAGGAAAAAAAAAAAATATATATATATATATATATATATTGAATTAATAAAACAATTCAAATATTAGATAAATCAATGAAAAATAAATTTTCAATATCAACCAATTAAAACTCTCGTTACTAATAGTCTGATACTGATTCCTCGTAGGTGGGGTACTATTTTACATGCGTTTGAAAAATCTGAAGTACGTACTTTGAATTAAATACTATTAATAAAACAATCAATTTTTGTAATGGCTTTAATATGTGATTTTGTGATATCATATCCAAAATCTCTTAGAAAGAGACCTTGAAATTAATATAAATATTTTCTCTCTTGAGTGGATGATATTGAACATTTAAAAAAATAATGTTAGCATTTTTATCTTTCTCGGAGAGTAGTACTAACATTTTTAAGGAATCCAAAATTTTGAAATAATAAAAGTCGTACGTACGGATGCTAAATTAAAAAGGTGATATTGATTGAAGTCTTCTTCCGTAATTGTATGTTTTTTTTTTTGGTTTTGTTTTGGGGGCAAGTATTGATTGAAATTTCAATTATTGAGAAAAAAAAAAAGTCATAATTGATATGATTTCTTTCTTTTCAAACTCGTACAACTAGTTATTCAAAAAAAAAAAAGTCATAATTGATATGATTAGTTATAAAGTTAAAACAATCAATATAATATATTTTGAACTAATTGCGTTTCCACGAGCTTAGGTGTCAACCTGCAAAATAGACAAAAAGAACTCACTATAGATGAATTTTGGACATTTAAGTTTTAATCTAATTTGAAATTAAAATTGATTGGTGGTTTTAGATATAGATACATTATACTTTTTTATATGAGTGAGAGTTGACCGTCAGCTCACACTCATATATATATCTTCTATGTTCGAACTTTGTATTACAACTCGTTTAAAATTTTATAATTTATATATGCATTCATGCGTTCACCGGTTTTGAATGTCCGGTTATGAATGTGAAATAATAGAAACCCTTTAAAAGTCCACAGGGAACAATGATATCCATTGAGGGCCATAAACTCGTCTGAACTGGTCCTCCATGAGGAAGCTGAAGTAGGACATGAGTAAGTGTTAGGGGTCATTATGTCCGGGAATTTTAATGATTCAAGAAGGATGACTATTTAAGGGCCATTAGAGTTACTTTTGGTGTCACAAAGCCCATGTATTTGCATGGTGTGTGCTTTCTATGTGTTTTCCACGTGTCATCCATTTAATTCGTAGGTAACTCACACTCTTAAAAAAATAAAAATAATGCTTAGTTATTCACCTTTGCGTAGTCTAATAATAAAATAACACATCACATTTAATAATAAAATAATACACATCTAAAAATACTATATATATTTATTTAATGGTTGATCGAAAAAAGCAAAAAAAGGTATAAATTATTTTATTATTAAAGGTAATGTGTTATTTTGTTAATGGACCATATAATTGTGAGTAGCTAAGTATTGTCCAAAAAATAATAACCTCGTCATAATTCACATTAACCTCTATTTCTTTATCAAGATCGCATACAATTATTGAAACATATATCTAATTGTTTGCTGTCAAAACAAAGGATTTAATAAAATGGACATTGATTAATTATTCATCATTTGATTAGCCAACAAACCACTTAGTCAAAAAAATATTTTCAAATCTGTGAAGACAATCCAATATAGTATATATAAGAAAGACTAGTTTTGTCAAATTAAATTTGGTTGAAATGATTATTTGAGTGATTTTCTCTCACTTAAAGGTACCTTGGGTATCTAAAAAATTACTATAAATCCACTTTTATACTCCTTTTTTATTATTTTAATTTGATAAAATTAAAGTATCATATTTGATTGTGCATATACTTTTATTTTATAATATTTTGAGTTAATATATATATATATATATATATATATATATATTCAATTTAATAACACGGAACAGTATCAAGTCCAAACACGAAAGGACTGTGAACAATGGTTGTCGTTGACCTGTCTGGTTTCCATTCAATTGGAAGTGACAAAACCTTAAGCAGCTTCATCCTAAAAATTGCTAGGCAAATGAAAGCCCCCCTCACTTGTCAGGTCTATAAATCCCTACTCCCAATGGCTATTCTGGTCATTCATAATGCTTTATTTGATGTTCTTAATTCCGAAGCCAAAAAAATATTAATAAATAAAATAATTAACTTTGTAACACTGACATTTGTGTATTTAGTACTCTACTTCATTCTTTCTTTAACATTAAAATTAGTTGTATCAGCAATAGTTCATCTTCGGGGTACAAACATGGCTCGTGGCTTTGTCTTTCAATTTCTTATTCCAAAATTTAATACTTATATATGACATATTATTTTATTATTGTTATTTATTTATTTCTATTGTTATTTTTTTGATATTGATGATCAATTGTTTATGACTACTTTTTAATTGACTGCAATTATTGCATGAAATGTTAACATGATAGAGAAGAAAATTTTAAATTGAACTAACAATTTTTTATTTCAAAATTTTAATTTTTGTCCTACAAATAAATATATCAAATTAAGCACACGATCAACATTCTATTTAATTCTCAAGTCAAGTTTGATGCTTTCACGCATGAGGCATATAAAGAGGAAACATTAAATTTAGCACAACGGTTACGTGGTACCATGGTCATTTTAGTTTGAACTTAATTGTAAGGAACATAAAAGATTAACAAAATATAAGTTGCTTACGAGTGTACACAAGTATAAGGATACTGTTTTTTTTAAAGGTATGTTGAGTTTGATAGTAGATAATCAAGATTTTTATTTTTATTTTAATAATTCAACCTAGAAAAAAGAAAAAAGAAAAAAAAAAAAGCTAGAAAAAATTTAAATAATATTGAAAGAATCATCCTTGTATTGTTAATCATCTAATATTTAACGTTTTCATCTCCTATAATATCGATTAAAATTAATAATTCTTTTATAAATCAATCATGTTCCATGGTGAATAATTAATATCCTATTACTTACTAATTAATAACCTCTACAAAAAATTCTTTTACAGCACAGATTGTTAGAATACCAAATATAAAACTTTATCCATAAAAATATGGATAAGATCTTGTTTACTCACCGTTGAGTAGGTTATCCCTATTAACTGATGTGGTCCTATATAAATAAATAAAGACAATAACTATTTTTTGAAATAAATTCAGTCACCCTGATTTAATTATTTTAAAATTATAATTAATTAAAAAGTTGATTGTATCATACCTTATGCATATTTTCATTCAAGTTGTGTCACAAATGTTGTTTATTGGTCCTTGAAAATACTATTCAACTTCTTAAGGA